ATCGTGGATGTGCACTGCTGAGGAGTCCCATATAAGAACGAAACGGCCGTCCAATGCTCTCAGGTTTTCCATGGTGGTCTAGCGTCAGTTGACTCATGATTTCAACTAGTAAAATTTCTAAAATCTCCACAAAACCCCTTCTGATGATTACATTTCAGTTAATTTGGAAGTCTATGAATTATTTAAGATTGTATTTTAAATAACTAATTGGTTAGAAATGTTTTTCGCAACTTCCTAGAGCTTAGATTTTATAGTACATGGGAATATTTTGCAGTAAGGAATACAGAAAAACCTTATAGAATTAAAACTTTCCGTAGTATCTTAACCTAATTGATTAATTATCATTTTTAGATGAGTTGTCAATATGGTATTCAGGTTGCGTTTGAATATTAAAACTTATGATTGTGCCAAAGAATGACAATAAGGAGTAGTATACTGCTTTCTTCAAAGTGAAGACAGTTATAACCGAAAAATGCCATCTCCTATACTGCTTCATGGCTTCCTGTTAAATGGTTTCAACCATTCAGAACTAAATATTCTGCACACGATAACAAGAAATTTAAACTAGCTGCTGTATTGTACCTTTATCGATGGTATTCGGCAAGTATTAAATAAATATACTACTGGTTACTACTAAGTGATCGAGTAGAGTTGCTACTGACTTTTATGTACTTTAATGATAAAAATCAGTACTCAAGTTTTTGGCTATAAGTAAAAGTTTAATTTCCTTACAGTCACCACTTTCGAATTCCTCAGTTATGTGTGTATGATTCAGGTTACTTCTAACATCATTATCGTTTCCATTACGAACAGATATTTACTTCAAAAAAATTTGTGAAAACAAAGATACTCTAGTATTTTCAGTAAATCAAATCAGGATTGCGGTAGTAGTAAGACGTTGATTGAAATAGATAAAAATCACACTGTATTATAATTTGAAATACTAATCAATGTATTTCGAGATCTATTTACAAGTTCACTAACAGTGTGATTGAGATATGTTCATAAGAATAGATTACCTGGTTTAAGTTTGCGCGATTGTCGAGATTGGTGTTTGAAGTTATTGTGCTACATGGCTCAAACTTGATCTCATGAGTGTGAATCCACTCATTATTTATCTCCCTTGCCATCTTGAGTTCTCAAATTATCCAACATTTTTCATATCATGAATTGATTCTTACTTCTTGAATCATATTGTCTATGCCTAATATTTTCCCTTACTAATTACACTGTTACTACTGTTACTACCATAAGAGGTGTCTTGATATTATCCTCTTCCTATGGCAACTTCAGCCGATGTACATGTCTCAGATCATTCAATGCACAATATTACTGAAAAGTACATGATGTATTCAATCCACATCTATTTTGTTATCACTTACGAAATAGCTTACTAGGGCTACCCCCTAACAAATCCACCCTAAATTTATGCTATTATTCATGATGTCAAGCCCATTGGGTTGTCCTAGCCTCTGGATAGATCAATCTATTCATTCTTCTTAATCCATATTTTGACCTTGTCACTTATTCATTTGTGAATCCTGACTGTTTTTATATGAGCGTATATGTGTACAATTCTAATCCTATTCATCACATGTCTGCAACTTATTTTTGTTCTACCATAAATATCAATTCACGATTAGCTAAATTGAGATGGCTCAATCGCCCTCTCTATTGAGCGTAATTTCGCTTCTCCGATCGTTTGACTGGATCAACGATTGTATGAAATACACGTATTTGAAATTCATTCCCTTATTTGACTTATTCGATTTCATTATTCACCAACGTGGTTTAAGTTGGTGTTTATATATGAAGATTGGCGACGTGGATATTTCAATAAAAATGCAGTTAGATTAAGAGACAATAAATTGGTCCTAATAACTCGCAGACGAAACCGTCGACAATGTCTAGATTATAAATTGTTTTCATGATTTAATGATTTTTTAAAATGCTATAAGAAGAATAGTTATTTTCATTCTTTAGCAGGAATCATGTTATCAAATAGATCATTTTATCCACTTTATTACTTGCATGATATTTGAATTGAACATTTTGTTGGTTTGTTCCTTTTTTAACAAAGTAAACAATCTTGAATAAATAAATTTCCAGTATGTGGTTGTATAGACTGTTAAATTTCATTGAAATCATGAACCGATCTTAGTTAGAGCACCACTGAGAACTTGGAAGCATTACATTATTATTATTATTATTATTATTATTATTATTATTATTATTATTATTATTATTATTATTAATGACTTGATTTAAAATCATACTTTAGTACAAAGAATTTCAATAAGTTTCCTCTTCTTATTTCTTGATGGACCCTGACGATAAATATTAAGTGATCCCCTATCAGATGTTAATAGTTCAGGAATCGACATCTCAATAATGTTCATTCTTTTCAATGCACAGTGCTAGCCACCACAATGTCTCTGATTGTACGTTCTTGTAACCTGTAGAGAGAAAGATGGTACGCTTTTTGTAAATTTGCCTGAGTAGGTTATGTGATTAATAGACATAATGTGTGAAAACAAACAAAAACATATAACTTATTGAGATATGTTAATTTCAGGACCAGGTAGCCCAGATACTCAAGCAGGCTGCTTGACAACGATCGTTTTGTCCTAGTATGCGACTTCGCGGTACCGCACATCCACGACTCCGTACGCAGAATTCGAACACAAGAACTCACGCGTGAACTCCTAACCTCTAGATTAATGGGGCGGCATACATCGATGTTAATATATGACTTCAATCAATCCACAACATAACGCGACCATATTCCATTGTAATGGGTTGATAACTGCTTTACTGGTCACGGCTTCTCACTCAAACTTCGGAAATTTCCTCTCGAAGCTAGGTACTAGTGAGCCTATGATAATTTTTAATATGAGGTTTTTGAGTTTTACTGAAGACAAGAGAAGACGATCGTGCTATGTTGTGGATTGACATTAACATCGTTGGATGTTGACCCAGTTGTGTAGATGTTAGGAGTTCACGCGTGAGATTGGAGTTCTTCTGTTTGAATCCTGCAAAGAGAGTCAAGAATGTGCAGTGCTGAGAAGTCCGTACTACGATGAAACGACTAATCAATGCATCCAGTTCTTTCAATGATACTCTACTTTGGATCACTTCATGATTTCAATGAAAGAAAATAAATTATTGTTCTTGAATAACTTTCTTCGAGACTATATTTTATGGACGACATTTGAACGAATTTTTAGGTGACCTTGAAACTATTAGCCAAACAGAAGAGAGTTGGTATAAATTAAAAATATATTATAAAAAACTAATGAATTACAGCGGATATTCTTCTTTTACATGATTAAAAAACTTGTTAAGGTTAGATAAAGGTTCAGATGTCCTGAAATCATAGTGCATAGGGTTAGGGTTAGGGTGCACAAACCCAAGTCTATGGAGGCATTTGTACGCTTTCCAATCATCGGTGTATATCGTACTGCCAGGCTGCACGTACTCCAATTTGCAACAATTATCATGATTTGCCTTATTCTGAGTCGTGATCGAGCGAAGAAATTGCCAGTTAGAGCAGATTTTTTCCTCCAACATATAGAACAACGAAACACAATCTCGTCACCGTAGTCTGCACATCGTACTGCAGTCATTTGATTGCCACAGTCACAGATACAGGAACTTCTTAATAGTCCCATCTGTTGTAGCTGCTCAACAATCACCTCTTCTCTAAAATCTGCTGTAAAACGATCGTGTGTGAGCATCACGTATTGAACTTAGCGCCGTGACCTTGAAATTCCTCAATCGCTTCTGATTGGCTCGTTCATAAATTAAAGTCTCACCTAACTTTCTAGTGGAATACTTATTTATGTGTTTATATTAATCAATTTTCCTTTGGATTGTAATCAACTAAACAGTTTATTTTTCGAAATCAAATGTTTATTTAATGAATATTCACATGATAGTTAAATATTTTTCTTAAACTATTTTGAATCGGACACTAATTCATATCATCATGTTTTACTGACGTATTAAAAAAAACAAGTTTATTTATATTTGTTTACTATGTATAGTAACATAATAACCTTAAGTAATAAATATATATTTTACGGATCGAACGTATTCGGTTAAACACAATTTGCACAAATTTTCTAATAATTTTATTTCTTCTTGTACTATGTTCTTATATACAGTCTTTCTTTTGTATATTACCACAACTGAATTAACTGTTTCTTTGAATCCGGTGTTCATCTTGTTGTGCTAATGAGGTATGGAAATTTGGACCAATGCACATATTTACCTAGTCCCACGTTATGGCTGACTGACTGAATTTTTTTTTAAAAAACATTTTAACTTCTGTTATAACTTGTGGCCTGTGTGCCCTGTTAATGTATAACGTGATGATACTGCTAATTAGAGAACAGTGAATTATCGATCGGACCAGTGATGTATAAAACAAGTATGATCAGTCTCGAGTCATTATCGGTCCCGCCTCCCTCATGGTCCAGCCAGTTAAGTCCAGAACATCAATCTCAGCCTCTGCGATATAAATCATTTATTTCAAACATACTAGGTTTATATACCAACCAGACAGATCACATAGTACTGTAAAATATGAAAATAACATTTGTACTAGATTTGGCCAAATGTAGCTGTGAATGTGGAAGGTAGCAATTAACAGACAGCGAATAATAATAACAGTTCATAGATTAAAATAAAGCTTATGACATGAGAGACATGAATATGAATAGTTTAGTTATTTAACAATTATACGATAAAAATATACTATAGTATGGATTCATAAATGGATTCTAAAAGTTACCATTCATTATTCTTATCGGGACATAACAACTTCACTGTAGATATGATAATCCTGAAGTTTTAACATAAATGCCAATTATATTTGACAATAGCTTGATGTTTTTTTAATTACAAAATCAAATGGAGTTTTGTATATCAATTTTTTATTTTAATTTCATAATATTTTATTTTATACTTTCACTTTATTTTTCTTACTCATTAATTAGTTCACCGAATAAATATGAAGCATTTGAAGAGTTTAAACGTGAACCCGGTTCAGAATTATTCACTATTTATCAACAAAATAAAAGTAAGTATTATAACCATTTCAATGTGAATACCTTATTTGGTTTGTTTTGTTTTGTTTCCTAATTCAATAATATAATCAGTTTCAATTAAAGTTTATTTATGCTTAGAAAACTAAAGATGACTCAAGAGTTAGTAATGTACAATCATATTTATATTTGTATGATAATCATTGTAAATCAATACATTTGTTATTTTACACTGTAATAAAATCTATTAAAAATCAATAATGTATTCAATATAAAACCAAATAAAGTAGTTTCTATCCTTCATTATTGTTTCCCCTGTAAAGTTTTAATAAGAATATTCAAATTTTCTTAATAAAACTGTGAAGTGACCTTAATTCAATGTTTTATCTTGTTAAAATGATTCTATATTTCACGTTTATGTTGATCTTGTGACTTAGCACTCATAAATAATTTCAGTGTTTGTTCATTCAAATCACAAATTGATTTAAGTTAAAGAACCATTAAAAATCATCAGGCACTGGATAATTGTTCTATCTTAGTATGAAACTGCTCACAAGTGAGTTTCGACAACTCTATAGTCTCAAATCTAACCCATTGCCTATTGTTAATGTATCTAAGTCGTAGTAGTTTAATCCAGTTATACTGATGAAAATAAAATCAGTTGACAAATCAAAGAATTAAAATATATACTGGTATCATTTGTAGTTAGATCTAATAATTATAAACATTTCATATTTGAATACATCTTCTCATGACATTTCTTATTTCACTCCTATAAATTTTCAAAACTATTCGAATCACTTGTATTTAACTGTCATTGACATTGACTATCAGAAATTAGCACTCTAAATACTTCAATTATGAATGATTTATTGATTGATTGCTTAGAAGAAAATGAAACAAAAAAAGTACTTAAAATTACCCATTTAATTTCGATATAGCCGATAGTTAGATAAAATTGCGGTTTATATTTCAAAAGTATTTCGGTGAAGTGACATTTCAATTCAGTTACTATAAAATCAATATTTGTTAGATAGTTTTGCCAAAATGTTTAGAAATTTCAACTATCAGAAAAGTTGCGTAATGATCAGCAATTCAACGAAATAGTACTAAGATGAAACTAATTGTGCTATAGAGATAATTTTCGTAAATTACATCAGGGAATTTTCCACTTTACGAGTATAATATAGATGAAGAATAAATCAAAACCGTGGAAATGGTGATGGTAAATAAGGGAAAATTAAAAGGTTTAGAAATATGAATGAACAAATACTTTACGAGGTATAAAAGATTAAAAACTTCATAGATATGTTAGAATAAGACCATACACTTGTCCGTTTTGCACATAGCTTAAGTTTGAGAAGATAAATTGTCAGCGCCTCAATAATACATAGTTTTTGATTTGTGCTTCCTTCGAAACAAAATTGACGAAATGTTAAGATAGTTTCAATGTATATTTCTACTGGGGAATTGTGACCAGAATTAACACTGTTTCATCATTGAATTATTGATTATTTTACATTCTTCTTTCGGAATTCATTCAGGTATTTTCTGGGTGAGCTACTTTTCAAGAGCAAATAGATGTACAATCTGTGAACTGATGATATCATTTACCTAATGAGTAGATGCTATTATTGAAACCATAACGTATATTTAATTTTATACATGTTCATTTGAATGCTATCATCAACAAATACTTCAAAGAAATATGAGCTATTAGAAGTTCCCCACACTTGATTAACAACTTATTGTGTTGACTTGGAATTTGATTAGTTGCTATATGCAACATTATAGTCTTTGCTTGTGTCGTTATTTTAGTTGTTTTTTCTCCTGACCTGAACTTTGACCATGCTATTGGTGATCCTTTTCCTTATTAGTCGATAGATCTAACCAACTTATGAGTACCTGTTAATTAATGTTTGATTAAAGTACCAGACTTCTAATAATATTTTGACTCTCTCCCAATCAAACGCTTATCGATAGCAGTCTACATGTACTGATATTGTGTCGTTTAACAACAAAGTGATATTCATGTAGGTGTAGACGAAGAGACTGATCACCATTTCCTGCATAATGTTTGTCTCAAGTGTTACAATCTATCTGACGTATGATGTTTAGTTTGTTCACGTTTGTCGGCGTCCTTTAGTTTGTATGGTATTTTCCTCAGCGATGTTGTCATTTACGGGCTACATCAATTCCTGTTAGTCATAATAATCAGTTTGTGATGTTCTTCATGTAAGATAAAACAATCTGTTTGTTGACCTTTGCTGTTGATTTTGAGTTTGATGGCCATTTCGATAAGCTTTTATTGATGAAGTTCATCGGCAACCATTTTTTTTTTCGGAATACATCCACGGTGTATTTTGTTTTGTTTCTCCATGCAACGCCAGTACTGTAGTGTGTCTTCATTCCTGTGAATAGTATTTATTTTGTACACCATCGGGTTGTTGCCATTTGACAGATATCGTCAGGCTTTTAATATTCTTGAGTCTCTAGTTTTACAGCATTAGTTCTGGTAATCAGTGTCTCTAAAAAATAGTAGCATTTTGTCCCATTCTGCTTCCAATGTGAACATTATATCATCAGGGACGTCGTTGATCAAGTTGTAAGTACTTTTCAGACGATTCTTTTTGATAATCATGATTCCGTCGTCTTCATAGGATATTTAAATCCTTAATTTGACCATTGATCCAACCTTTACGCAACTGCTTCGGAAATCAAAGGCGATAATGATGATTACACAGGAACCTTTTTTATTTGTTTGTGTATTTAGCTGTTTCAATGGAGGTATGTTGTTGGACACCAGTTGATGATGTTCATGAGAATATAATTTCGAATCTTAGCATATTCTGAATAATTCGTATCATTCACAAGAAGTATGAATATAGTGTCTCTTAGTAGGTTTGGTTCTAAGAAGACAAATAAGACTGTAGCATCGTAAGATACCATCGATTCATTGTTGACTAATCAATTAAACAGTAGTTATAACCAATATTATTTCAGATTTTCGACAAAAAGTTTGAAATTAAAGATCTATTAGTAAATGAATCATTTTATTATCTTTAAGCTAGATGAAATATAGTAAGCGGTTTCTGATGTTTTTACATCATTTAAATGTACAATGAAAACTACTTTCTGTATGAGTTTCCTAAAAGATTATTGAAATTGTTATGACTTCATGTCCGGCTTTTCATCACGTGATCTATGCACCAATCATAATACGACTAATACAATTCCGCACTGTGCCAAAACCAATGACGTTCGACCGGTATGAGCAGTCTAGCGTCTTATTTGGTCCTATGTCTGTCTAGCTCGTCCACTTGAGTTCAGAACACCAATACCAGCTTCCAATATGCGAATCGAATCATTTATTTCAGACATACTGGGTTTATATATCAATCAAACAGACCGCAACGCACCATAAAATAGGAAATAACATTTGTACACAATAAAGTCAAAAAGTGGCTGTGAACGTGGGAGGCAGTAGTTAATAAATGGAACATAGCTTAAGAACCGTAAATTGTACAATAATGAATTCTAGGTCAAAATAAAGCTTATAATAAGAGGAATATAAAGATAAGTAATCTAATTATTGAATAGTTATACCACAAGAATGTATAGGTAATATTAGTCAATTAATATGTCTCAGAAGTTACTCGTGATTTAATCTTCGCTCTGATATAACAGAAATACTGTGACTTCTTGAGTGAATTAACTCGAGAATAAAACGAAAAGTTATCAGTGATATTGATTGTGCTTTAATTTCCCATACAAGTCGACTAAAATTAAAAATTTTACAAACATATACTGGCCTAAAGATGTACTCACCGTAGACCCATTACAGGTCTCATGTTCCACTTTGTGTATACTGCTAAGTTAACTTGCTTAAATTTTAGAGTTGAGTATTTTACAACTGTGTCAAACATTCCAATACATTTTCATACTTTAAACTTATTTTAATTGTGTACTTATTTACGTTAAACAAGTGTATTTAGGGGATTTTATCAACAACAAAAATTCAATCTATCGTTAGAGTTAGGTACTTTGAAATCTAGTTGAAACACTATCTAATTGACTTGTAAATTTTCTCCTTTCTCTCTATTTTGATAAGATAAACTATGAGTACATTAGTAATCCATATAATAAATATGGATATAAATGAAATAACTATCATACAATCAAAACTAAACGCGCGATTTCGTAGATTGGTTGGTATTAGACACTAACACTATTGAATGCCGGCCCAGTGGTCCAGTAGGTTAGACGTTCGTGTGCGAAACCGAAGGCTCTGGGTTCGAATCCCGCGAGCGGGACCGTGGATGCGCACTGCTGAGGAGTCCCACAACAGGACGAAACGGCAGTCCAGTGTTTCCAGGTTTCCAACTTTGGTCTAACATCAATCGGTTCATGATCTCAATCAAAACTAAACGTAAATATTTTGTAATTATAATTGAATTACAATTAATCATTATTTAAAAATGCCATATTTTTTCTATTACAAGTTCAGGTGTAATAAGATAGGAATGAATTGCCTTATTTTATATTACATCCAGAGGGTTTGTGATGTTAAATAATTATATAGTTTCGAATGAAATGATGATGATGATGACCTTCGTTAATATTAAGTAAAGGTTATATTGTTGTCTAATTTTCCCTAGCGTTTTTTCTTGGTGATTCTTCAAATGAATTTAGTTTATAATGAAAGTTGTCTATGATTAACTTAATTGTATATACTTACTTTCCGATTTCTATTATTTTGTTATTATTATTGCCTAAAAATGTTAGATTTACTACAACAAAACCGAGATCAAGGTTTGAAATTAGCTACAGAAATCAATCAGATCAAAACAAATGTGGATGACTTACAAATTCAATTGAATAAATTAAAATCTGAACGTGAAGCACAAGGTAAATTCCTTATGGTTATTTTTTCAAATTCATTTTTGATCTTTTAAATTTGTGATAATTTGCAAGTGATTAACAAATGATAAATTCTATTGAACATTTCCTGAAAAGTATACATTATTTGCTTTTTTTAAGGTGGAACATGGTACAACACATTGTTCAGTAGATTCTGTTTCAGATTATAAAATCCTTCATTTTAAATAAGTGTCAAATTTAGTTCTTTCATTCATTTACTAAGTCTACATGTATATTGTCTGTTTTGAACCATACTGTTTATGAAGTTTATTGATACTGGTTGTCGAGATTCAAACTTGTTATCTATTTGCTAAAAACCGAGTAATTTAACCAGTATGGTACTGTTTAACATTTTCTGTTCCAAATTACTGACGTTATGTTCAGTCATATCTATCTACTAGATAGTATAATGATAAACTCTTCAGAATAGACGATTGATGCATTTTGCCGTACATTTTGGCATTAATATGAACTCATGGTTTTAAGAAAGCTACTTTTCATCCTAATTTAATATGAGTATAGGGGTTGCGGAGATTATTAATTTTTTGATTGAGATCATGAACTGATTGATGTTAGACCACCATTGGAAACCTGGAAGCACTGGACGACCTTTTCGTCCTATTTTGAGGCTCCTCAGCAGTGCTCATATATGTGCTCACTATTGACTGGCCTCATGAGAATCTTCTCGGAGTTCTAGTAAGAAGTAGTGACCAGTGTCGAGTAGAGACAGGTATCTACCTCAGTTCAGTGGAAGATGATCACGCGGTTTCGTAGATTGGTTGGTATTAGGCACTAACACCATCGGATGCTGGCTCAGTGGTCCAGTAGGTTAGGCGTTCACGCGCGAGACTGGAGGGCCTATGTTCGAATCTTGCGAGCGGGATCGTGGATGCGCACTGCTGAGGAGTCCCACGATAGGAAGAAACGGCCGTCCAGTGCTTCCAGGTTTCCAACGTTGGTCTAACATCAATCGATTCATGATCTCAATCAAAAACATACTAGGCTAATGAGTTCAGATAGCCACTAAGTTTTCAAGTTGTCTGAAGTTATTAGCAATAATTTTAATTTCTTCTCATTAATACCAACCAGTTACAGTGCTAAGTATCAACAACGAAAAATCACGATCATTTCTTAATAACTTTAGAATTTATATTATGTCAATTATATTTTCGATGTTATGTAAACATTACCGTTATTATAAGCGAAAATTCATGGTGGTTGGCAGTGGAATCAACGATGCACGTTTCTCACTATTCGGGACTCGTCAGCTGGATATGACTGCATACCAGAATTGATGTTCATTCCAGAACTCGATCCCAGCATCGTCCACTTCAAACACCATCGCGTTATCTACTTAGAAACTGAGTTCAGATAGCCACTTTCTTGTATAAAGGGGGAAAGTTTGATTCAGATGCATTCAACTAGGACGAAACGCGAGTCCCGTATTCCACTGCTAGCCATCATTCATCTCTGTTTATTATGCTTCTAACTCAAGATATCATTGAGGCATTCCGCATAAGTTACACATATACCAATAAGAAACTGATCAGTTCCAGTCCTAAACATAAATTGAAAAGATTCAAACTACCAATACAAAAATGAATTCATTCTATTGTTTTAATTCAGGTAATTTAAACTTTTGAAATACGAACTGTGTACTTTACTTCATAAAATGTTGATTTTATTAAATACAATATTTCTTTTCATTAAATAAATACCCAAAATAAATAATTAAGCGTTTCACTTAATTCTGTTTAATAAAACACTTTTCTAGGAATTTGAATAATTTTACATTATCAACATTTATATGTGGAATTAATTTCATTCTTTGACAACATTGAAAATTAAATATATTGTCCGATAAAATAGTTTTTGACTTAAGTAATATAAGAATTTTTAAAGTATATGTCAAAAACTGACAGGTTGTTGAATTCCATTTGTATAGATTTATATTGAAAGGGTTCTTTTTTTTCTTCTGGTGATTATGTACACACATCGTAATTATAAACGCTAATATACGATCAGATGTATACTTATACTTTGATATCCGGACTTGAATATTCTTGTAAGGGCAAATATTTATGATTTCATGTTAATTTGAATATGCATCAATCGGTCCTGTCAATATAAACTTAGATTAATAGGTTTCGTCAAGGTTATTTTAAGTTGTTGGTGCTATTTGTTAAGGACCGCTCTCAGTTAGAGTACCAGCAAAAATCAAGAAGCTTTTGACTCCTATCTCATTCTAATATGAATCTCTCTAGCAGGGAGTACCTATGATCTGATTGAGAATCATATTCAGGATTTTGAGGTGTCGGGGAGAATATCCATTCATTAATGTCACATATAAGTATCATTACCAAGGTTTGATTTGATAATTACGAATAAATTGAGCATTGGGTAAATTGTTATAAATAAATAGTATATTTGTAATATCACAACGAGTACAGAAATTAGATTTTCTGACGTTTCGTGGCCTAGTGTAAGTTACTTCTTCAGAGAATAAATAACCAAATTAAAATTAATCCAAGTTTAAATAGTACAACGGAACAATAAGAATAATATATGATCAATCAATGTCACATAGTTCACATTCAATGATATGCACTTTTGTTCACAATTCTAATCAATGTTTTGTCATTTTGTTTAGCAGTGTTCTACTTGACATCTTTCTACACCATAAACTAGCTTTAACTGGAGATGAGGACGGAATTATTGGAAACATGAAGTAATTTAAAGGTTGTTTCATCATATTTGTAAACTCCTTTTACGAATTTTTTAAAACTTATCGTCTTATACATTTTACTGAAACCAGAACCTCTAGATCATATATTGATTATAAACAACAAAACCATTAGGTCGAAATCCAATGGTTCATCTTTAATCCGTTTAAAACTGCTAACTACTATGTATTACTATGTATTTTCACAATAATCTCACTTATGTGAAGTTGTTATATTATAAGTTTCAACCCTGGATGAAAAAATTGATACCCACTTGGTACTACTTTTGTATTGTGTAAAACAAATAATTCGTCCTTATTCATCCTGCTGTTTATTAGACAGAACTATTTCACATATGTCTAATGGTTAAATGAAAATTACTGGTTATCCTAGACTTCGTCTTCTTGTTGGTTCGGACTTATCATCAAAGGCTATCTTGACCCTTGAAACAACTGATACTTCTTGTGTAGTTCGAACATTTATATTCCTTTGTGCTACGGCCAGAAACACTAACAATTAGCTGTTTGAGAAGGATTATTTTTTGTTCTAAAAGTTACAACGGTAACAACGGAACACTAAACCAAAAGATTCTATGCAAATTAAATTACACTCATCATGAATTTTTTCTGTATCTATGAACAACTATTTAAAACTGTCGAATTCAATTTTTTGATAAAATGACCTTATAATTGAACGATGTTTTTCGGTTCAACGAATCAATAAATTTGTTTTTTTAAAGTTTCAGCAAAACTTGATGTATTGCTTTTACATTCATTGGATATAAATTTTTATTTGGCATGAAAGTATCATATACTTGATTTGTTCATTTAACTGAATTCCTAGTTTATAAGTAAGAAAAATCTGTTACCTTTCAGTATACATATGATTGTTAATTATGGATGCAAATTAATTTTCAAAAGAGATTATTTTGTACGTGTTTCCATATTATACAAATGAAAGTAAACTTATTTGTTCCAAAATAACTAGAAAATCATTCAGTTAATAAAATCTAATCTTTGCATACTTACTTATTTACTTACTTACTCCTGTTACCCCTCATAGAGGAACATAGGCAACCCACCAACATTCTTCATCCAACTCTAACCTAGGCAATTCTTCTCAGTTGTTTCCACTTGCAATTCATTCTTGTGATGTCTGCTCCCAATTCCCGACGCAGTATATCCTTTGATCCTTCCTCTTTTTTCTTCCCTTCAAGGTTCGTAGTTAACACTTACCTCGCGATGCAGCTTATTAATTTACTCAATGTATGTCCTATTCATCTCTATCGTATTTTCCTAATTTTTTCTTCAAATGGAAGCTGATTTATTCTTTGCTTAGAATAAACCAAACTCAAACGCCTATCTTCTGAGCTTAAGTTATTTTCTATCATTTAAAAGTAAACATATTTTCGTCCTAGTATGGGACCCCTCAGCAGTGCACATCCACGATCCTGCCCGTCGCGCGCAAGCGCTTAACTATTAGACTAATGAAACGGCATCCAACGGTGTTAATGTCTAACTTCAACTGATTCACGAAATTGAGTGACACATTCACCATTGTCTTCAGTGAGTTACTATCTCACAACAAACCTAGTTGAACTCCACTGGTCACGGCTTCTCACTAGATCTCCAGGATATACCTCTTGAGGAGTCCCACAATAGGACGAAACGGCCGTCAAGTGCTTCCAGGTTTAGCTTCAACTGACTCATGATCTTAACCATTGAAATTACTATAATATCCACAAAACCCATCTGAGATAAAATAACAGTTTAGTACAATCTAAATATTTATCATCATTTCTATTTATATAAAAATCAATCTGACAATGAAAAAAAACTTGTTTGAAAATTAAAAGAAAAAAAAGAGTTTGAATTTAGGCAATTAATTATTTACCATCTTTTTCTACTGTTTGTTTTATCGTGATTTCATTCAAAAATTCAACTTATTTACGTACGAAAAAAACACCATCTATTCAACAACATTTAATCCATGTTACATTGGGTTTTTTTTATTTGGTAAGAACAGGATGTTGATTCTTTTCTTATTTTCTCTTATTACTACGCAAGTAGGTTTCTATGTGCATGTACGTGCGTGTGTGTATGTGTGTTTCTGTTCTTTTTTATTACTGTCAAAATCAATATTACATTTTAAATTAATTGTTTTCTTAAAATGTAAATAAATGAATGATATTTTGTGTAAAAATAATCTTTCATTATAAAAAATAAATCAGCTAGAGAAGTATCGAAAGAACAATATACATGTATA